TCTCATGCTTCTCTCTGCCTTCACACTCCTGAGTCTGTTTCAAGTTTGCCACTCAATAAACTGGCCCCAACTAATTTTTAAAGAAACCTACTTACATCCTAACATTTTGTGATTTGTTTTGTTGCAGAAATGTGGATACCTATTGGTAGCTGCTCAACTCTCCTGTCTCTCCCCACTCTCCCCCTGTCTTGCTGGCACCCAAGGAATTTCTTGCCTTAGGGCAGAAAAAGCAGCCTCACCCACATTTAGGACCCCTTAAGATCCCAGTTTCTACTTTAAACAGTCTTACTAAGGGATTTCTTAAAACGAAAACTGCCCTGCCTATGAAAGGACTATCCAGCAGATACAGTTTTTCACTTTGTTAAGGTATATGACCTAAAGAAGGTAATTTGAGGAAGGAGGATCCTTCTCCTGACCACAGGGAGTAACAGATATAGAATTAAAGATATATTCAGAGACGTGGATTTGTGAAGGTAGAGATCAGTGCGTGAGCCACGGTGAAATGCAGGGTGTGCACTGTTTCCAAATGGTGTTCCTGTTGACATTCAAGAGGAAGGCCATAGGCCATATGGAGAGGTGTTTAACCAGCATGGCACTGGTATCCAGGAGGGTTGCAGAGGCCTCTGAACCAGTTGTGTGGAGGTCCAGAGCTGTGCTGGGATATAGACGGACACAGAGGCAGTCTGTGTGCAGGGGGATTGGACCATTGTGTCCTTCCTCTGCATGAGCTCTGACACGCAAATACAGAGATAGGAGCTGGGAAGACCCTTAGACACTGTCCAACAGAGTCTACTTGTGTGTCACCCGCTGATCCTACGAAAGCACCACCCATTTCTTCTTGTTCTTCCCTTTTTTCCTTAACCTCTATGCAAACTGCATCCTTCTTGAAAGTCTTTCTTTAGTCTTCTTCAATGCTAAGTTGCTTACTTTATAACCTGCTTTTTCTGTTGCTAGGTCCTAACTATACTTGGGGGATTGTCAGGATTCTTAGGCAACCTTTTTCATTTTCAGATTGTCCATAGGCAGGAGTTAATCCATAAATTAACAAATGTCACTCAGACAATGCCCTTACAATTCTGGGAGTGTCTTACAATAGCAGCCTAGTCATGGCTAAGAGCCTTGGCTCTGGAGCCAGACTGCCTGGATAGAATCCCAGCCTTGTCACTTACCACCTATGGGATCCTGGACAAGTTATTTAACTTCTTCATGCCTTAGTTTCCTCACATTGTCATTTTGGAGATTAGCTGAGTAAACCAAGCAAATGCTAACCAATGCCTGTGACATATAAATACTTCATATACTTATAATGAGTATATGAAGTATATCATTATTACTATTATTATTACTGCTCTTATTACTATAATAATCATTAGTGAACTGTCATGAGAGAAGGTTAGAAAAGAATACACTATATTCATATTTTAACTTTTTTAAAAATTAGTATTACTATCATGTTATGCCTGTGTTTGACATTTATATTAAGTCTAAGCAAATCATGGGCTGAAGCTTAGTGGTCAGTTAATACAAGAGGATCTAAACAGGTGCTGTAGCTCCAGGCAGGGAAGTTGAGTCAGGAGGGGTGAATGTCTGAGAAGGTGGAAGGAATACCTCATTCCTATATGCTGTAATTTAGTCTTAGGCTCATGAGTTTGTATTGTTAGCATTGGGCAATGCCTTCCCTCCACTCTGCCCACAGGTATCAGATGATCTCTGGGATGGGTACCCCCCCCATCTTATTCTTGCTTATTGTTCTGATGCATTGTCCCTGCCCCCACTTCCTGCACAAAGCCACCTCTGAAAATCTCACCTGCAGTCATTGCTTTGGAATTTCAGTAGCCCTAAATGTCAGTAGTGCTCTGATAGCCCCAACTTGTCACCTTGCTTATTTTTATGTAGATGACCCATCTTCCTGTTTGAACCAAAGCCTCTTGGGGCCACACACTGAGCATAATGCCATATACATAACAGTTGCTTGTTTAATTGATAGCTTTATCTGTGCACAAATTTGGGCATTATTATTTTTATTCTTTTAAGGATTAAATAGAGCAAGAGTGTTGTGTGTATTAGATATACTATGTGTACATATAAAGAGTAAGCATGGGGATATCAAATATCCTCTTTATTTTCCAGAAGAAACAAACCATGGAATGATCACTTAACCTTAAGAGGAAGGAGGTTTACAAATAGACTGTATTTTTCTTGCATGCTTTTAGGAGCAGCAGCAGAGAGGCAAAACCATGACAAATCCCATCTCTGCCACTTAATAGCTGTGTGACCTTGGGCATCTCTCCTCAGTCTCTCATAGCCTCAATTAACACATTAGTAAAATTTACCTTGTAGAAATATTATTCCCAATCATGTCCCTAAAGAGTTTGGTCTCCATATAGTAAACTCTGATGATAGCTTTTTAACCAGTCCCTAACTTTTTTTTTCTAATGAACTTTAAGAGTTTGTGTTATTTTGATCAGTATATCACGCCCAAATACCTTGGTTGTCTATAGTGTAAGTCTACTGAAATCTAACACTTGCGCCCAGTTCCTGAGGTTCTGTCTTATTTTACTTTTCTTTCGCTACTCAAAGCTTCCTCCTCTTTGCCTCTAATGGAGGATACCTGGTCAAGCACGCAGGTGCTCTCACCTGATACCTGGCCATCACCTGCCTGGAATTCCCTATGTTATCATCAGCTACCCAGATCACATCTGCTGTATTTAGCTTGAAATCACATCCCGCTATCTTAGCACCTCTGCTCCCATTGAAGCTGGATAGAGCCCATCCTGCTGTGAATTCCTGAGCACTCACGGTTCCTGTTTTCCCTTTGGCAGTTGTTACATTCACATTTGTTTTTTGTTTTTAATATACATAGGTTTCCTTCCAGCTAGGACAGAACCACACTTTATTCCTACTCTTTTAAAGATATTCTTTATTGTGAAATGGAGCATCTATACAAAAGAATATATATATTTTAAAAATTCAGTGTTTAAAAATACCACCCAAGTTAAGAAATAGAATACAACCAGTGCCTTAGAAGTCTCTTTTTGTCTCTTCCCAATCATAGCTTCCTCTCTCAACCAGAGGTAACCAGTATCATGAAATTTATATTGATTATAGTTTTCTAATCTTTAAACAATACCTTTTTTCTTGTTTTGCTTTTTTTTTTTTTTTTTTTTTTTTGGAAGACAGAGTCTCACTGTATCACCAGGCTGGAGTGCAGTGGCGCGATCTCAGCTCACTGCAACCTCTGACTCGCTGGTTCAAGGGATTCTACTGCTTCAACCTCCCGAGTAGCTGGGATTACAGATGCCTGCCACCACCCTCAGCTAATTTTTGTATTTTTAGTAGAGATGGGGTTTTGCCATGTTGGCTAGGATGGTTTCGATCTCCTGACCTCATGGACCGCCTGCCTTGGCCTCCCAAAGTGCTAGGATTACAGGTGTAAGCCACCATACCCGGCCTGTTTTGCCTTTATGTAAGTGGAATAATATGTATGTAATTGTTTGACCCGTTGCTTTTTTCAACATAAATGCTTTAAAAATTCATCCTTTTGCTGCATGATGTGTATAAGTATAGTTCATTTATTTTAGATTGTATTCCATGCTGTGAATATAGCAGAATTTTCCTTTAAAAAAGATTGGAGGCCAGGCATGGTGGCTCACGCCTGTAATCCCAGCACTTTGGGAGGCCGAGGTGGGCGGATCATGAAGTCAGGAGTTTGAGATCAGCCTGACCAACATGGTGAAACCCCGTCTCTACTAAAAAATATATAAAAATTAGCCGGGTGTGGTGGCATGTGCCTGTAATCCCAGCTATTCAGGAGGCTGAGACAGGAGAATTGCTTGAACCTGGGAGGCAGAGGTTGCAGTAAGCCAAGATCGCATCACTGCACTCCAACCTGGGAGACAGAGCGAGACTGTCTCAAAAAAAAAAAAAAAAAGATTGGATATATAACTATAAAATCTCAGTGACATTCAACAATAAGCAAATATTTCTTATATGTTGGTGGGTTGGCTGGGACAGCTCTGATGATCTCAGCAGGGTTTGGAGCAAGGCTACAGGTTTGGTCCACATCTGTTCCATGTTTTTTTCTGGAACCAGCAAGAACCCAGGGCATGTTCTGCTGGCAGAAGTATTAATTTCTCAGAGGGTGAACAGAAATAAGCAATGCTTCTGTTAAGGCACACCGTCTCTTCTGCTCACGTTGCCTTAGTCAAGTCAAGCCACAGGACCATGTCCAACATCAGGTGGGAAAGTGTCCTCCCCCTGAGGAGGCTGGGAGTGATGTAGACTTGCTGAGCAGAAATCTAATTAGATATTTGGGTTGTTTTCAGTTTTTGACTATTTCAAACAGTGCTGCTGCTGTGAACATTTTGATTATGTCTCTTGTTGCACATACACAAGAGTTTCTTTAGGGTATGTGCCTAGGAGCCAAGCTGCTGGGTTGTACAGCATGAGCATTTTTAATTTTACTAGGTAATACCAAATACTTTCCAAGTGTTGTGCCTGTTCTGTCCACAATGGATTGGTGCTTCAATGTTGCACTGAACCAATATTACATTTATATTTTTTATATGTATGTAACACACAACTGAATGAATACTTTTAAAAGTATGCCTCACAATTTCACAGTGAACTCAGTTTGTTTTTGAACCTGCACTGCAGGATGGAAAGTACACTGTTCAGGCCACAGAACAAGGAGGCCAAGGTGGGAGAAATCACTTCAGGCCAGGAGTTCAAGACCAGGCTGGGTACCCTGTCTCTCTCTCTATATATATAAAAACATTAGCTAGGTATGGTGGCTTGTGCTACTCAGGAGGCTAAGGTGGGAAGTTCAAGACTATAGTGAGCTATCATGCTACTGCACTCCAGCCTCGGTGACAGTGAGACCCTGTCTCTTAAAAAAAAGAACAAAAGCAAGCTACAAAACAAAGTGCTGTTAAGTGCTGCTTATCTTTTTTTCAGTACTCAGAATCCACTAACTGTTTCAACTTGCGTTCACTTGGCAGGTTTGGTGCAAGTGCGAAAGTTGTGCATTTCCTGGGAAGAGTCAAACCATGGAATTATACTTACGATCCCAAAACAAAAAGTGTCAAAAGTGAGTCCCATGATCCCAACATGACTCATCCAGAGTTTCTTATCTTGTGGTGGAACATCTTTACCACCACCGTTTTACCTCTGCTTCAACAATTTGGCCTTGTCAAAGACACCTGCTCATACGTAAATGTGGTAGGTTCTGTTTCTTTTCTTTAGATCATTTAATGCTGCTTTTAAAACACTTGTTGTGTCAATAGAGATGGGGATTATTTAGCAGCATTTTAAACAGAGATACATAAAACTTTGTGGAAAGAAAACAGTATCGATCTTAGAGGGGAGAAACACTACCAGCAAAGAAGTAGCAGACATAAACTGTGTGGCAGATTTCTTTAGATCTGAGAACATAGTTTTTTAGAATTTTGTATATATACCCATATACTTTAACTCTAAAATGCTTAGCCCATTCTCCTCTGAAAAGATTTTGGGATTTATTCCTCAAGTAGTGTTCTATAAAAATAACACCCCATTGGATATTTTAGGAACCACAAACCTTTAGATGTATCTACTTTATATTTGCCATCTGCTTAGAAGAATGTGTTTTCAGTGAAAACCACAATATGAACATACAGTAAATAACTGTTACATATTAAGATATAAGAGAACAGAATGGGTGAATTATAATCAGATAATCAGTTAATCACCTGGCTATAAGAGATTACATGGGAGATTATTCTCCTCTGTGGTATAGATTTTAGCCATTTCACTTACGAGCATTTACTAAAATATAGAAAGGAGAAAGCGAGAAAGAACTGACACTTGCATTCTTACTCTGAGTGCTTTATATGGATCATGACATATTTGTACAGCAGTGGTCCCCAATGTGTTTTCAGTGAAAATCACAATATGAACATCCAGTAAATAACTGTTAAGTAAGTTTTTTGGCACTAGACACTAGTTTTGTGGAAGACAATTTTTCCATGGACCAGTGTGGGGAATGGTTTCAGGATAAGGCTGTTCCACCTCAGATCATCGGCATTAGATTCTCAAAAGAGGCACACAAACTAGATCGTTTGCATGCACAGTTCACAATAGGGTTCACGCTTCTATGAGACTCTAATGCCACCACTGATCTGACAAGAGGCAGAGCTCAGGCGGTAATTCTTGCTTGCTTGCCACTCAACTTCTGCTGTGCAGCCCGGTTCCTAACAGGTCATGGACCACTACTGGTCTGTGGCCTGGGGGTTGGGGACCCCAGTCATACAGTACTTGACACCGTCTGGCACATAGTAAACGCTTAATGAAAGTTAGCTATTCTTATTTAACCCTTAAAACCACCATATTAAAGACTATTAGTAAGTACTGTTAAGTATATTAAGTATTAATATCTCCTTTTATAAGAACTGTTAATATTAATCTCTCCTTTTATAGAGAAATTAACTGAGGCTTAAAGAAGTTACATAACTTAGCTTAGTTATGTAACAGACTAGTCAAGTAGCAGAATGGGCCTCAAACCCAGGTCTGAGAGACTTATCCCTATGAAAATTTGAGATAGACCATGCTTAATAGTAATGATCTGCAGCCCAGAATTAAGATAGTACCTTTTTTTATGGCAGGGGAAGGGAGAGTTACACTTTAAATGCTAAACTATTTTAAGTTATGCCCAGTATACTTGGCTTGACCTCAGAGACGTCTCTTTTAGGATGTAAATTCACAGCCCCCCTGTTGTGAACAGAGGACTCTGGAATTGCGACTCTGTATCATTACCGTTGCCAAGTGCAAGGCAAAGGCAGGACTAATCCAATGTAACGACTTCCTTATGTTGCCTCAGCTATAATGCAATCCTGTACCCAAACACCTTAAAATTCTATTGTATTTAAATACATACCTATATGCTTACATATATATAGTAACAAAAACAGAGTCAAAATGTTTTTTCCACCATTTTCTCTGTTAAAAGCAATACTTGTTTGTATTCGTTTACCTTCCTTTTTCTCTGCTAAGATTTCTAGTACCTTTGCACCTTAGCACCTTTTGAAGGATAGCATTGGTATTCTTTTATGGTACATTTGAAGTTGATCACCTATCTATATGTAATGAGAATCAAATTTAATGTAGGCCAGGTCTGCTCTGTTTGTTGCACATTTACCCTGTTCCTTCTGCAACATGAGGGCTGAGAATTATGAACCAAGGAAAGGTGAAGATGGGAACTGAAAGTTGTTCAAAACTAAGCAAATTAACAGAAGCTACAAGAACAGATGATACTTGGTAATCCAAATGAAAGCTTGAATAAGCAGAGAAGTTTGGTACATAGTCTCAAACCAGTTTAACTTTCCTTATAATATTACAACTGTATGTGTTGCGGCTCTCTAGTTAGGTTCTTTCTGAAATGTAGCCTGTGGGGTATCATTTTGTTTAAGTTCTCAACCTTTCAGAGCCCACACAGATTGAGAATTTATCTTGAGACTTGTGTTCCCTTGTCCATCCATCTTACACTTTCTAATGAACTGTTTGCAGCTTTCAGACTTGGTCTATACACTGGCTTTCTCTTGTGGCTTCTGTAGAAAGGTATGCAGAACTTAAACATTAACCCTAATTACTTTGTTCTCCCAATGTTTTCACTGAGTCAAGAAGTCTTCATTTCGTTAGGAAAAAATCATATAATCTTTATATTTTTGTGTCTTTTTTGTTTGTTTCATGTAATACTTTTCAGTTTTTGCTGCTTTGCATGATGATTCATCCTGGCTTTTCTCACTGTCTTCAATATATTGCATTCTTTAAAATGGTTTGATTTTCAGCTCTCATAGAGTCAATTATGCTTTCCTTTCTAGGAAGATGTCTCAGGAGCCATATCACATCTGTCCCTTGGGGAGATCCCAGCTATGGCACAGCCTTTTGTGTCCTCGGAAGAACGGAAGGAACGGTGGGAACAAGGCCAGGCCGATTATATGGGAGCAGATTCCTTTGACAACATCAAGAGGAAACTTGACACTTACCTCCAGTAGAAACACTGCATTTTCCTGTGAACACATCCACTTCACAAGCCTTCTTTCTGATACTTAGTATCTAGAGCTGGGTTGAGAAAAGTCTGTTACAGTTGCTAGAGGTTTTCACTAAAACTTATCAGATGAGAGCTTTTTGTAGGACAAGAAGTGAGAACTGGGCAAAAGTTGTAAAGCAGCAATTCTGTTATATGGACAGTGTTCTGCTTTTTAATCCTATTTAGCTCGTTTCAGAAATTCTTACTTTTGTTGACTGCCAACATACGAAGGGAAACTCAATATTAAGCTGTTAAGATGGCTATATCATTTCTTAAAATCTGCAGAGCCTGGTTCTAAATCAGTCACTCCTTTCAGAAGCAGACATGGCATCTGTTCCTTGCTTACTTGTTGGTTGTGCCTACCTTTCACTAGACCTACATTTTAGAATTGCCCAGTGCTGCCAGAATGAGTGATTGTAATTCTGCTTTCAGGTAAAGATAGCCTATATTAACACTGCTGAGTGATTCATAAACTATCAACAAAAAGCATTAACCCATTTTATTTCCTGGTCTTAGTGTCTGAAGATGTTCACCAGTTTTCTAATGTACAGTAAGGCAGCATGCTAAAATGCTTTTGTTCAGTTCTGTATATTTGAAAATAGCAGTGTATTCTCTGATGGTTACCTGCAGTGGCACCCTGTATGGAAAATAAAGACTTATAGCCATATCTTGGTTGTTTAATTAAATTAAGGAATCTCACCACACACCCTTGAAAAAACCTATTAGGGAATTTTTCATAATTTTTGGAATTTGTCAGTTTTAAAAAACAGTGTAAAGCTTGACACTGGGATATATGCTTCAAAAACTGGTATCTATGATTTCAATCTAATTGTTTTTCTGTGATGGTGATGGATCTGATAGATCAGAACAAACTCAGATCAAACGTACATAGTGTCATCCATACCGTACCTCCCTAAATGGGTATTTAGCTATTTAGAATATTTTAACCTTGAAATCATTCATAACTGTCAGAATCAACACTGGGTCCAGTGCCTACTAGTGTTTTATCTATGATTTAAAATGATAGAATGGAAAAGCATATTTTATAAACCATTCTAGGTTGTAAGAGATGGCAAGCTAGAGAAGGGTAGGATCCAAGCTGACCTTTTAAAACCAAAATGAGTAGTCAAATGATTCTGTAGAAGAAAAAAAGGACAGTTAACCATGACAGGAAGAAACTTGAGAGGTTTGATTGGGCAGATGATGCATAGCTTTTGTGACCTAGCCTTCAAGTTCAGCCTCCTTATTCAGACTGATGTGAATTAATACACAACCATATAGACAGCTTAAGTCAAGAATGGTTGGGGCCACCTTGAAGGCTGTTACCATAGGAGCTCAAGAAGAATCTGAGGATTTACCTAGAATTATAGTAAATGAATAAGTGATTTCTGAAAATAAACTAGCTAATTGGACTGGTGAAGAATAAATCACTATTGATCTTCAAGTACAATGAACATTTACCAAAGATTTAAGTGCCTCCATGTGTCAGGTACTGTGGTACAAAGACTTCTCAAAATAATTTTGGCTAGTCAGAAGTCTTTCTGGCTTCCGAGTGCCTGGTTAAGACGAACAGAAACACAGTCTTCAGATTAAAAAAGGTCTTATTTTTATGGCCATTCAATATGCATTCAATGTTTTTTCTATGTACTACTGTTCATTCTTTTTTTTTTTTTTTTTTTTTTGATACAAAGACTCACTTTCTCACCAGGCTGGCTGGTGTGCAGTGGTGCAATCTCAGCTCAATGCAACCTCCTCCTCCCAGGTTCAAGCGATTCTCCTGCCTTACCATTCCCTGGTAGCTGAGACTACAGATGTGCACCACCATATGCCCAGCTAATTTTTGTATTTTTTTCAGTAGAGATGGGGTTTCACCATGTTGACCAGGATGGTCTTGATTTCTTGACCTTGTGATCCGCCCACCTCAGCCTCCCAAAGTGCTGGGACTACAGGCATGAGCCACCGAGCTTCAGTCTCTATTTTTTACACAGTAGCATATCAGAAAGCTCTAAGGTGAAAAGCTTATATAATTTCAAAATTTTTAATAAGTATTTAGTGAAGGCTATTAACTTTTGGAATCAGAAAGAATGACAGGCTTACCATAAGACATAGCATATAATGCTGTCAAGTTATTTGGCTAGAAAGTCATGGAACTAATAGATTCTTTTCCTTCTGTGATCTGTTTTAAGGTGAGGTATTAACTTTCATGTAAAGCTATACAAATACTGGGAAATCTTTTCTAGGGAGTCCAGAATACTAAGGGTTACTTAGTAAAATGTATAAAAAGGCAACAGTAACTCAAATTACAAGACATATTTGCAGAGGTGATCCACATATACTTACCGCTTGCAATGGTAGGTATGACCTTTGGTTTTAAGACAAACTTGCCCACAACAGAGGTCAAATCCATGCCTTTGGAGATTAGCTCCATGGTGGATGGAGCGATGGTTTATGCATAAAGTAAATGTTTACCTTAATTCTCCTTATGCCCATATTGTCCTGCTGTATAACACCTTTTGCAGATATTTTGAAGTTAATGTGTTAACTTGAGGTTAAACATTTGAGTTCTTTTTATGAGCCAAACATCAAATATGCCTTTATATTTTTAATGAATCTCATCCAAATGCTAATGCATCAACCTTGGCAAGTACTATAAATAAGAAAAAAAAAAAATACAGCAATGTCTTTGCTATTCCCCAAAACAAAGCATACACTGCCTAAGATAATTTTATTAGTACTAAACTGGTAATAAACTACATAGGATTAGTTTCTTGATTACTATTTCCAGTTCAAAAGCTGTAATTTTAAGAACAAAATGTACAATGATTCAGAGTGCTACCTGTGTATCTATAGGTACTATCACAACTCCTTTTTTTCTTCCAGATGAGGAAATTGATTGGAACCAATGTTTTTAGATCAAAGTATTTTAAATAACCACTCTGATTTCTGAACAAGAGTTTGACCCACTTAAACTGAGCACAATAAAGGTAGGATATAAGTACATTATTCTGTTACACTAATCTTCATGTACTCCCAATTAAAAAAGGAACACATAGAAATGTAAGAATTAATGAAATATTTTCTTTGAAGATAAACTCAAAATTATGGCACTGAGGAACATAATAAACATTTGAAATTTTTATTGATGTTTAAATTTAAAATCCAGTTTGAACCACAAAATTCAGTTTGAATCACAAGTGGTAATACAATGTCTTCAATATTTTTCTAAAGTTATTTTTCTATGTAATAATAAAACAACAGCATAGCATAATATGAAGTTTTCATTCCAGTGGCTTTTTTATATATCCTTCTTAGGAAGGACAAATTCAATTTTTTTAATTAAACTTTTCAAATTTAACAATATGTAATAGAACTGTACAAAACAAGACATTTTTTAAACAATCTGCCAAACTTATGAATGTTTTTAAAAACAACTTTGTAAATATCTGAGTAATGAAGCAAGCTGTCCTCCCTTTACCTTTGTAGTGAATTTGTAAAGCTTTGTCTTTGAAAGTAGGAAGAGTAGACTGTGTTGTCTTTTGCCGAAAACTGTTTATACTTAATCTCAGTGAAGTATTGTTATATGAAGAACCCATATTCTGATTAACTTGATTTTTTGTGTGTAATGCTTGATCTACCAGGTAACTTCCCTACTGCTCCTAATGCTAGCGGGGTAATCCCAAATTATTATTCCACCGTCATCCCTGAAAAAAGGTCTTGGTTTTGATGAAAAACAGCCCTTTCCTCACCTGCTACTGCCTCCAAAAGGGAACAGGAAGATACTAGCTGGCTAATTCACTTTTGAGCAAGAAAACAGGGCACAGGGAGGAAAGGACTTAGCTAGTGAGATTTGGCATATACCTTGAATGTGCACCCTATAACACAACATTGTCTCCAATCACATTTTTCTATCAAATCACTCCCAACACTCTAAAATCTCAAGTATTATTAAATCTGTACCATCAAACATGAAGCTTCTCTTGTTAATCTCTTCTTTCTTTGGATTAAAATTTCCCTTTGAAATAAAACCACCTACCTAGTCTGACTGCTAAATTTCTAGCTTGTTTATTTTAAATATGACTCAGGAGTCCCCCAGAATGCTGCAGCAACTAAGTTTGCTTATTAAAAAAAAGGTAAAAAAAAAAAAAAACAGAAAAAATAAACCTAATTATATAGATAGATGTAACGATGAATTACTGAAGTTGAAAATCAAATTCTGATTCTAAACACATAACCAATTTTTACATTCAGGATTAAGATGTCTTTAAAAGTTGAAACGACTTTGGAGATCATCCAGCCCAACTTCCATCCAGATATCACGCCTCTCACATATAGTAGTCTTCTGAATTATAAAAATTTATAGTTACTTCCAAAAAAAGCTACATAAATAAAAATTATTTATAGAAATATCTATTTAGCAGTTCCATAATTTAAAATATTCAAATCGAATTGGGTAGGATTGGTTTGCCTCTCACTCCCATAGACTACATTTACACCCTAGACACAGCAAGTTACATTTAAACAATGAATGTAGTACTACTTAACTAAAATGGAGAAACAGTACTCTTAACATAATCTCTAATTTTTTCATGAACATAAAACTCCAAGTCACTTATGTGAACTATATATCTCAATGTACGATAGAGAAAAAAAAAACTCTGCTAAACTGGACTTTGGTCTCTTTTAAGATTTGGTTCTAGAATGCAAATATGTTTTTTGAAAGCCCAATAAAATTAATTCTTTTATAGTTCATATATATTGTTTACAAGGACTACAAACACTGCATCACATACTGGAGGCTTTGGTGAATAACTAAGTGTCCAACATAGAAAATAACTATTTGGTCAAAAGTATAAAAGGTCTGACCTTATCTGAAATACGAAAAAGCTGAGTACTTGGAAGATATATGAAAATACTCAGCATAGATACTATGAAAAGCTGAATAACAAAGTAACATTTTTCTCAAAAAATTATTTTAGGCCACTGTATATAACGGAACTTATTGCTACTTGAAGTTTCATTAAAAATATGTTCATATATAGAAGAAATTGTGTCAGTAATACCTCTTCACTAATATAAAACAATATGCCCCTTTTAGAAAACATGTTCTCTAGATCTCATTTCTACAACTTTTTCTTATTTCCAAAACTTAAGTATCCAATCAAACTGACCTTACTAAAATCCCACAAATTATAAATCAATTAATGTTCTGATTTCGTTAATTTTAGCTTGTTTCATTTCATCAGCATTTGGTTTTTTAGTTCCAAAGGCTCCTGCTGCAAGTTCTCTCTTTTTGTTTTGTATTTTCAGCATATTTTCTTCAACAGAGTCCTTTACAATGAACTTTAAAAAGAAAAATAAAAAAGTTAAATTGGTTAGTTTTTAAAACTACGAAAACTAAATGAACTATTATTGAGTACTGAGAAGAATGAAGGAAGGATAAACAGGATAACAACACTGCGCACTAAAAATGGAAAAAGTTAAATTTTGAGATGAGAATGTTAGTCTACCATAAAATAACTTGTACTCTTCCAAGTGTTAATGTAGCTTTTGCGAATGTGCAATAATTAGAAAGTATTTATATCAGCTGGGCGTGATGGCTCACACCTGTAATCCCAGCACTTTGGGGGGGCCAAGGCAGGTGGATCACTTCAGACCAGGAGTTCA